CGTTGTAAAACAAGCCAACTCACTTCGTGAACTCGGCAACCAGGTGACCGTTGTTTTATATTTACCTCTGTTTTTTTTTTTTGCGGTAACCCTGAATGGTGGTCGAGTATATCATGTTGTGCGGGGTCGAGAACCCTCACTCGGCGCAAGGGGGATGATAGCACCACGTTGTGTTGAAATAGTCAAGCACCCTCGAGGCAGTTGCACAGTGCTTACAACTGTGTCTGGAAGTGAAAGCACCAGAAAGTAAATTCAGTCATACGCAGCTGTCATCCGTATGCAAGGAAGTAAGCACAAGATGCCGAACACCCTTAGCAGGATGCAGCGCACCCTTCATGCGACTCGCCGAATGCCTCACGGCGCTTCGCGCTCGGTGATGTGAGAGCCTGGTCCGGTGAGAACCCGGCGTGCTCCGTCCCGGCTTTGTAGGGATGCGAGGTCACTGGTCGAACGACTACGGCATGCACGACTATGAGTACACCCCCACCCCCCCCCACCGTCTGGAGGATGTGTGATAAATGGTCGAACAACTAGGTCATGCAAAACATGAACACGCCCCCCTCCCCTCCCTGTCCTGTACCCCGGCAGCCTTCACCTACCTGCAGCTGCCGGTGAGACTCGTGCAAATCGATCAACGCCTGGTCCTGCATGAACTCCATCGGAATCTCGACCGGCATGAGGTAGCGCGCCAGGTAAGCCCGTTTCTTGAGCTGCGGTAGCCGCTGCAGACACCAGTGCATGGCCGGGTAGACTACTTCCTTGTCTCTGGGGCCGCAACAAGTTGCGAGCATTATGATCAGTGTAGCGGCTAGAGACGGCGTTGGTAGGGTGCGTCTGGTGTCACATTAAGGACAGGCCTCGGGTTCAGGTTGCGGCAACAAGCATGGGAGAGAGTAACTTGCCGATGGTAGACCACCGTGCTCTACACTACAGAGGTAGCAGAAGCAGCAGCAAAACGAGGGACAATATGGTAAACATAGAAGACGAAAACGTTAATCTCTCACATGACTACCGCCATCGGCGATCCACCTACCCGCCGACGCCGGCGAGTTCGGTGCCTACCCTGAACTACTTGGCACAGTAACGAGCAGAAAACTCTCCCTGTCTCTCTC